AGATTCTTGATCAGCAGTGATCACCGTTCCTCTCTGAACAAGGCACAAGAGCGATAGTTAACACCTAGATCTGATAATGAATGAATCTACTGGGTTTAGTTAATGGGAATGAGAAATACCGCTCTGCCACTCTCAAACCACTGTCTTCCCGTAAGCTTCTTCTCCTTAGTTGTAGCAAGAGCAGACTCCGGCATCAGCCTTGAAAGTTTATTCACGGCCACAAATAACAATTAATAACTCAAGAAGCCATTAACAATGCCCCATTCATTGGTGTATCAGAGCAAGGGAACAAGAAAATGCAGGAAAAGAAAAAGTTACTCACTTGGCTTTCTCAAGTGCAAGCTCCGCCTCATATCTCTCTCTCCACGCCAAAAATGTCTCCAGTGTAACAGGTTCTCCATGAGGAACAATTACCTGTATCAAGAAATTTAGACAGGATGATAACAAAAGAGAAGAAAGCATAGCCCATGAAAGCTGTTGTGAACAAAACAGAAGCCTATATCAAGGAAGCAAGACTCGAGATGCTTTGCACGTCTATAAATCTGAAAATACTGAGCAAACAACAATACCTCATCCTCTTTCGCAGCTTCTTCCTCCGCAAGGTCAGCTCCATCATCTTGCCCATAGTGTTCAGACAACCAGTCCTTTGCTGATGAAACCAATGTATACATCATGGCCATGCCAAGATTTTCACTTGCCTGTGAAAACGGTATAAGAGACCTCCACTAATCATGTTCAGGCAAAGAAAAAATTATAACAAGCTATAAAGTTGTAAGACCTCATGTTACCTCTTGTTCAAGCTTCTCTTTTAAGATGGTGAGGTCACCAACATGGATTCCTCGAATACTGGAAGAATAATTTTAGCCACATGAGTGTCATCATCATATAGCTGTATAACCTTGAAAAAATAGTTTACCACCTAGAATTACCTTCTCACTTCCAAAAGCGGAACCTCGTCTGGATAATTTTCTGTGTGCGAGAAAATCAAACCCAGCTGAACTGCAAGACAAATAGAGAGCTCTAAGACTACGAAAGTACACGAGAGGGCGTATGATATAACAAAGGATATTTTTAGAGAGTAATAAACCTGGTGGGATTGATGACTCCTCTAGATCATCATCCTAATAACACAAAAGAAGAAGCAGAGAATCAGGACCCTAGCAAATTGCTAAAACAGTTGACATATCTCATACAGCTTGTTAAACAGCCGAAAGAAGCTGATACAGTAAATTGAGTAAGTACAGGCATTGCTAAAAAAGGATCTTTGGATCATCTACTTGAAAGAAGTTGAAGAAAGTAAACAACTAATGAAGCAACTAAAGAAATAGAGATTGAATGTTGTTCTAATACCTGAGGAGTTACTGTAATCTGAAAGCATCGATTCGAAGTATTAAGTCCACTTTCACTAGAATGAATCTCTGTCACAAAATACAGTCATAGAGGAATCAATTCACTAATCAGCTCAATGATAAACATACAAGGAAACTAAAATCTTAAGAGAAAACAAAAACTACCTTTAAATTCATCAGCAAGTATAGATTCAAGAGCTTCAATCTCCATCTCTTGTTCCTGCTTATACTCTAACAAAGAGACACAGACCAAAAAAGCCACCCACAAAAAATTCTCAATTCATCAGAAATCGAGATCAATCGGAATCCAATTACTCTCCAATGATAAAAAAACGAACAAATTTCGAAACTTTTCGAAGGGGATTGATCGAAAATCACCTGTCATGATGACTAAAATTGACACCTTTGTCGTGAAAGTTTTGAGATTTGTCTGAACTCCACAGTGAGTCGCTTCGTGGCCAAACGAGCAAGATAACCTAAAGGAGAGGACTTTAAGATCCCTAAAACGGTGTCGTTTATTTTCTATTCTCTAGATAAAACTCTCTCTCTCCCCCTTTCAATGTGTTTTTTTTTTAAAAAAACAAAACTGAAAAAGGAAAGCTTTTTCTCTCTCTTCTCCGATCTTCTCCGCTTAAATTTCATCTCCGAGTCGCCGGAGCAAAAACCCTTTTTACAATCCAAAGAAACTGTTGTTCTGTTTCTATTGACTGAAGAAGACCTGATCGATCTGAGTTTCTGTACAAAGATGTCGAGATTCAGAGACAGGACGGAGGATTTTAAGGATTCTGTAAGGAAAGCTGCTGTTTCGATTGGTTATAACGAGGTACGAATCTCGTTCGATCGAAGCTTTTTGAAACCCCAATTTGATTTGAGAAATTTCGGATTTTGTTTGTTCTGCACCTCAATTTTGATCATTACATTAGGGTTTTCAAGGTTGTTGGTTTTTGTAAGATTGCTTTAGTTTACATTTCATCTGATTCGTTTATTATGTTTGCAGTCTAAAGTTGCATCGACAATGGCTTCTTTCATTATACATAAACCAAAAGAGAGATCTCCTTTCACTAGAGCTGCTTTCAAAACGGTAACTTTAGTTGATTACTTGATTTAGCATTTAGAGTTTGCATTTGGAGACCGGAATTGGGTGTGGCATTATCGGATGATTCTTGTGTGTTCGATATAGTTGGAAAGCATCAAGGAGTTGGATCAGTTTATGTTGAAGCATCGAAAGGATTATGTTGATTTGCACCGGACTACCGAACAAGAAAAAGATAGCATTGAACAAGAAGTAAGTCATCTGTGCTAGGCTTTCCCGTAGTATATGATTCCGTGAAGTTGTTGCGATAAACATATGGAACTATGGATTGGTAAGAAAAGTAGCTTCTCACATTGAGAAAACTCAGGAAGATGAATGTCTTAGTACCTTACACGGAGGAACTCGGATCGTACATTCTTCTATCTTCGGTGTTGTTTGATTGAGAACTATGTCTACTTACGTGTTGTGTAATATCATCAAACTCTTTTTTGCAGATTACTGCTTTTATTAAAGCTTGTAAAGAACAGATCGATATTCTCAAAAACAGCATTAGAAATGAAGAAGCAAACTCCAAAGGATGGCTTGGACTCGCAGCGGATAACTTCAATGCTGATACTATAGCACATAAACATGGAGTGGTATGATATGCGGCAATGTAGTAAGCCAACTTTGGTTTTTTTTCCTCTTTTCATTCGAAGTATGTAGATGTGTAGACGTATAATGGTAGTTTTATTTTTGCAGGTTTTGATTCTGAGCGAGAAACTTCATTCTGTCACTGCACAGTTTGACCAGCTTAGAGCTACTCGTTTCCAAGATATTATAAACCGAGCTATGCCGAGAAGAAAACCTAATAGGATCATAAAGGAAGCTAGTCCAGTTAATGCAACTCTGCCAATTCCGGAGTCCGTAGAACCAGATGAAATTCGGGCCCAGCCTCGTAGAGTACAACAGCAACTTCTAGACGACGAGACACAAGCCCTTCAGGTAACAAGACAACTCTATATGGTTTTCATTAACTTGCATGAGTTTTGTACTTATACTAAATCTTGAATTTTGTAATATTTTTGCAGGTAGAGCTAAGTAATCTTTTAGATGGTGCTAGGCAAACGGAGACTAAGATGGTGGAGATGTCTGCATTGAACCACTTGATGGCAACTCATGTTCTTCAACAAGCCCAACAGATAGAGTTTCTATATGACCAGGTTAGGACTTAATAATTCTTCCCAAGCTCTTGTGTCAATGCACTGGTTTGTTAGGCTTTCCCTGCTCTTTACACATATGCTTCCCTTTGCTAGCTCAAATTTGAATTTAGTTTCTTTTGAATTCAGTACTTCTCCTTGTGGTAGAGTAGCTATAGATACGGGAAAGAAACTTCGTAGTGGTCCAATTTGAATTGCTCTTTCGATTTAGTGGTAGGAAATGGAACTCTCACTGTTTCAGTTATGCTAAGTTGCTAAACCCGATTCGTATGTGTCAATGCCATTCTCAGTACTTTAGCTTATCGGGATTTGGTGATTTCATACATCTTAAGACTAGCTTCAGACTTATTTAATCAATTCCACGATTTGGTGATTCGCTCTGTGTGTGTTTGTGCCTCTTGTGGCCCTTTTCTCACTCAGCTTTAACACTAAAAACGCAGGCGGTTGAGGCAACGAAGAACGTGGAGCTTGGAAACAAAGAGCTTTCTCAAGCAATCCAACGTAACAGCAGCAGCAGAACCTTTCTCCTACTGTTTTTCTTCGTCCTTACTTTCTCCGTCTTGTTCTTGGATTGGTACAGCTGACCCATTCAATCTCCAACAACCTCACTCAGTTTGTGTACCTTTTTGATATGTTAAAACGAATAAATT